GTCATACATAACAAGGAGAAATGGAAAAAACACAATACGTATGCATCGATGACTCATTGTTCTTCTACATATATTTCATACCTCCTTGTCTATCATACACTTCTGCTGGAACGGAGAGAAACGGTTCCTTCATTTCTCCTAGAAATATTTACATTTCTGCTGGAGAAAATCGATTTCTACTAGAATTTCTCCTTATAATGTAAGAATAATCTGATCGATTTCTCCTTATATCTTATACATTTCTCCTTGTAAGGACAGATATGGTTGATGCGCTTCTAATCGAAAAGATTTAGTGGTGGATTGAGTTTCGCTATAAAAAGCGTTTCTGCTTGACTTTGTGTGGGGTAGAGGATTTCTGCTGTAAGTGGAACAATTTCTCGATTTTGGGGGATATCGTCCAGCCCTCTAAAAACTCAAAACAGCCCGAAAAAATCGGAATATCCAAGAAAATCCGAAAATCCAAAAAACTTAAAGAAATCCAAAGAAAACCAAAAAAATCCAACGAAATCCGAAATAATCCCAAAATCACAAATCCGCTTTTTGCCTCCCTTGATTTTTATCAGATTTTACAAAATTAGTCTCAGGTGATAACTATCGTTTTTCATAGAACTCTTGATATTTCAGTTTTTTGGAATGATTTTGCATCCCGAATAGTGAATAGAATTTGTATAAAAAGTCTCAGTTTGATCAGGTATACTAGAACTCAGTGAAACGCGGGACAAATACAATTTTGTCCACTTCTAGGCAGGGACGAGACTGAAAAATAGGAAGTACACGGAGTAGGATGAAACAGGATGGGACTAGATTTTTCTTCGCCTCATCCAGACTGTTTCCTTCCATTTGAGCTAACAAACAACAGTTTTTGGTAACTCCTCGTCAAGAACATTTCATCTATGGAAACCACGATTAACTCAACCATTGTTAATCGAAAAGATCCTGTTACGCCAATAAAACAGTTCGAAACAATTCTTGAGAAATAGACAGGCCGGGACGCGGCTGGAAAATAGAAAGTAGCGCTGGGCAGAGTAGAACGTAAGGCGTGAAATGAGACGAGACACAGGACGCGAGACCGATTGCTATCGTTCTGCGGAACTCTGGGACCTACCATGTTGGAGAAAATGGCGAAAATAGTGGTGATTTTGACTCATCGGAGCTATAATATCTGCTTGAAGGAAACAAGTAATGTTCGTCGCTTCGACTCGCTGAGCCCTCGACTGAACAAGATATCATATTCAATTTTTTCACAGTACATGTAGTAAAAGAAGTTCACAACAGTTGTACGAAAACGCAGAGTAGTTGTTGAAAATTCTACTAGAAATTTGTATACATTTTACAACATTCGCCGATAATGCTGTTTACTATAGAGTTCTCTAGGAAAGTAGGAACTCCCTGAAACGTCTGACTGAAAATAAATCATATTATATCTGATCTCTAATTAAAGCATCATACACACAACAAGCTCTTATTCAAAGTAGTGAGAAGACTAGACAGGTAATTTGAATGTATCAGTATAAATTCTGATACTTGAATTAATACAAAGAAAAACATATACCAAATGAAACACGCTTTTATTTCATTCATGTTCACTACTGATACAGCAAATATAAATTCTTTCAGTAATGTCTTTGTTTCGACGAACTATTCAGTTATTGTATTCAATCATAAAAATCGTTTCTCATCCTTAACCTGACATAGTTTTTTTCGATCTTTTGTATTTGATATTCCTTATTCAGATCCATTTTACCACAACTGTTGACTTTTATTTAACGAATTCCAACACTTCGATTCGGCACTTCTGCAGACAAACCAGTGCAGCAGCCAGTCGCTCATTGACGCCCCTCCGGGGCGCCACTCGCAGCTGGCTGCTACCACCTTTGATCTTATTCAACCATAAGATAACTCTTTTCACCTAAACCCTATTAAATGTCATATTGCTATTACTTGAAAAAACTTTGAGATTTACACCATGATGACGCAAGATCGGCTACTCGGAACCAACACATCCTTATTGTTTATTCTTAATTTCTTCGATACCATTGTTCAGCCAATATATTAGAGTTTTATTGGAACTATTCATTTAACATATCCTAATTGATTATTCTTCATAAATGGAGGCTTCGCGTTGTTATTTTCTCAAACTACATCAGAAGGTGTTTACAATAGTAGTCGCTCGTTGCTGACTAATATCTCTCTCATGTACTATCCATACTCTCTTGCTGCATCATTTCAACATATTAATACAATCATTGGTTATTTGGCATTTGCTCTATAGTCTCGAACTTCCATTACAATATTCTTTTAATTTTTCTTCTTTCGACTTAAGCTAAGTGTACGCAGAAAAGCTATTCAACTTAGAAACCACCGTGAATAAACAGTCATCGCCTAATGTTGTATCCATCGAGATGAGAGTCAGTAGGTTGTAAGCATTGTTTTATCACAACCGGACTTAATGAAACGCCCATCTCCTTAGGCATCACTCCGACCCCACTTATAACGATACTGTGAAAAGGAAACCGAAAGTAAACAGTAATTGGATATTCTAGATAGACAGAAGGCGTTTCCAAACTTCGAACTTCCTTTTTCCAAATAGTTGTTTTTCCAGAAAATAGCTTTCTCCTTAGACAATAATTCAGCCAGAAAAGTATCATTTTTCCACATAAACAATTATATTTTTAGAGAAGCCCACTTCAGATTCTGATTCCCCAACCCCGATTTTCTTCCGTCAACCTTTATAAAATATCGTTATTTTCTCAAAAAAACTTTCCGTTAATCTCAAAAACCAACTTCAAAATTTTCAAAATCTGACTTCAGATTCGGATTCTCCGACCTCGACTTACTTTCGTCAACCTGTATATAAAATTTTCTAAAGTGGATGTTTTTTTGACCCTGATGCTTTTTTGACCCTGATGCTTTTTTTGACCCTGATGCTCTTTTTGACCCTGATGTTTTTTGACCCTGATGTTTTTTTTTGACCCTGATGTTTTTTTGACCCTGACACAGACAGACAAAGTATTTTCTTTCATATGACCCTCCTTTCAGTCGAGGGAATAATAGAAAACAATGATTGACTTTGATTTAAATCAGAAAACTTCCATTGATAGATAAAATAAGTGTTTCCATCGGTTCGTTTCGAATGATCTTCTTAAAACCAAATCGATTTTTTATCTTCCCCACAAATTTTCTTTTTGAATTTTTTCGAAATTAAAAATAATATTTTAATGAAAATATTAAATGTATGTTCCGATATAATATATTAGTTTTGATTTCAATCGATGACTAGTGACATCATTTAAATATTATTTTATATATATAGGATCAAGATATTTTAAAATCATTATATATATGTATTATTGTAATAGATGATTCTTACTTTTGAAAAACTATTATTTTTCGTTTATCTATCACAAAATCGAAATAAAATATTTTCAGATATTTATTTTATTATTGTAAACGAAAAGCGTGATAATTACTTTAATATTTTATAAAAATTGCTAAGTATTTATATAATATAAGATAATATTGAGATTAATAATCGAAATCTAAAATTAACAAAACTCTTTAACAAAGAAAAAAAAAACATCTTTCTATTACAATAATTTCACAGAAGTTTTCAAATAGATAGTTACATATCATCGAAAAATATTAAAGAAAGAAATTGATTTAAAACTCTTGATTTATGTTATATTTATAATGACTGATAAAGAGTGATCCATTTAACAATTTAAATTAAAGTTGGAAAGACTTCTTACTATATTATTATTATAACTCATGCTGATTATTTAATAAATAATCAAACTGAAATCTTCTCTCCAAAATTTAAATCTATCTATAGAGCTAACAGTTGCCTTTAAAAATAATCAAATAAATTATCTTTATTCAAATTACTATGAGCATGTTTTTTTCAATGCAACAAATAAAAAATAAAATAGCCATTTTATTTTTATAATTTTAATTATCTGTTCAATAATACATCATTTGAACTTTCTGTTTAGCAATTACTTTATAAATTTCTATAACATCTAATAACAACATCTAAAAGATTGTCAAAAAAATTCAAGCATATGTCTACATGAAATAAATCATTTTATTGGAAATCATCAATGCACCTACTTATTTATTTATTTCGATAAAAATGCAGTTTTCAATGAAAACTTTTATTAAATTCTTTTTGTTATGTGGTATGCGTTCGAGTTTTCCATAATCCAGAATTCGTGCTTCGCACCGCATTTCGTATTCGAGTCGAAACTCGAATACCATCTAGTATTACAGAAATTATGTGAAGTGAGCCAACGTTGAAATGTGTTCAACCAATCGTGTAAAAACAATAGCGCCATCTACTACACCTTTTTAACGCCACTTTTTTTTATAGAAAACCAAGAACACCATTCGACAGAGAAAAATTTTCTCTATCTATCAATATCTAATCTATTTGCGGCCACCCCGAAAACACCAATCACTATGGACCGTTATTGTTTCTCTTATTTCACTATGCTCTTTGCCGCCAGGGTTCGTACTATGATTTTTCTCAAATGATTATTTTCGAACCATAGCTCAAATCACTGTTTTAGATTAATATAAAAGCAAAAATAAAAATAATGTTATCGAATGAAGATGAAAAAGATCATAGATGGAACCGGTCTAGTTTTTCGACGACCGGTACCGGTACCGATCTGAACCCGTCGGGCCGGACCGGCCGGTCTACCGGTAAGATACCGGTAGACTGGTAAAATACCGGTCTACTAGTAAAATATCGGTCTACCGACAATGGATCAGTTGTCAAAACCAAATACTGCCTGAAAAGCACTTTATTTTTCCATCAAAAACAGCTCTGCATTAGTGTTTATGATGAAAACGGGAAAATGGAAAAGTAAGACCGGTATCTTACGGGTATACCGGCAGACCGGTTTCAAACCGGTATACCGGCTGGTCTAAAGTCCGAACCGGACCGGCCGGTTCCCGATACCGGTTCCATCTATGAAAAAGACCATCAAATACAACAGATGAATGATGCGATTAAAGCATTGAGTATTGATCCATCATCTCTTGATCCACAACAGAAAAAACAAAACAAAAAAAATACAAAAAAGTTCATGAAGAATAACATTCATTTGAGGTACACAACATTCATAAAGATCCAGTAAGTTTGTATTTCTCTTAAAATAACTTAAAATTCTTTTCATTATTTTTCAGAGTAATAGTACACCAACCACTTTACCATTGTTATTATCATTTAATAGTGATTTACCTGATCTTGCAGAGCATTCTCCAATTTGGTTAAATGAACAATATATTAAAGATCATCATCTTGAAGAAGAAGTTTTAGAAGATGATATCAATACGACGATGGAACAAAGTGATATATTCAAGTCTACAAAGTGAAAAAAAAATGAATGATGATGTTTTACTACAAACAGTTTTAAGTAAATTTCTCAAATTGTCTTACGATTAGTTTTTCTACACTAATGAAAAATTGCTCACTTGAACAAGAAATCTTTCAATTAGTAGTGTATATATTAGTTGAAAGTGTATATTTCAAAGCATCTCATTACTAAACGGTCCTGAAGTATTAAAGAAATGATTTTTTTTTCTACTAATTGAATATGTATATATATGTGAATTTATTCACAGACATAGTTTTCGTTTGGTTTTGCTAAGAGGGGGAAAAGTTAAGGGAGAAAATCTCCCAACGCTAGAGAGAAACGGTTTTTGCAATGTTTTTTTTTGTAGTGAAATATATTTTTAGTTGGAACCTATCTTAAGGGTCTCATTACTCGTCTAACCAATATTTTCTTCGCTATTTTTCGTCTTAATAAATCTGTCAAAAAAGATTCAGATCAATGAAAAAAAAAGTTCATTTTTTCTACACAAAAATGGTTGACATCAATAATTTTCAAGGTAATGTTCTTTCAAAAAATTGTGTAGTGTTTTGCCTATTTTTCATCATCACTACCATCATCATTTTTGTGTATGTACGATGTGTTCCAAAATGTTTACAACATAGGTTTTTTTCAGAATATCCCTGTACAGACAAATGATAAAATTTTAATTTTTTTTCAAAAGATACTCCGTAAAAAGCTCTACAAAAACTATAAGAAGGAATTTCTATTGACGGCTTCTGATGATTTCTTCTATACTTAAAATAAAAAGCATACATGATAGCGCTCTTTCCCACCATATTTAATATAATAAAAATGTTTCAAAACACTTTTGTTTTACGATAGGCATTTGTTTATGCAACTTTTGTAGAGCTTTCGATAGTGGTCTTTTGAAAACAATCAAGACGATATCGTTTTCTGAAGCTGAGATGTATGCAAAATAAAAGTCTTCCAAACATATTAGCATATTCAATTTTTTGGAAATAACACTATTATCTATTTTTTTATCTTGAGTATCGAAGAAGTATCAGAATAAGTCAATTGGAATTTCTTACAGGACGTGGATGTGGTTTTCTTTAAAACTAAACCAATTTCTATTTGAATCTGAACTAGTTTCACTTTGAAAATTATCCATTTTCTCCTTCAGTCTAAACTATTTTCTCTCTGAAAATGATCCGTTTTCTCTTTGAAGCTGAGCTATTTTCTTCTTGGCCCTGAACTATTTTGTCTTAGAAAGTGATTCACTTTCTCCAACTATTAAGTAGCAACTGCTAACTACTCGTAACAAAAATTTTCAGAAAAAAGCTATAACGCAAGAAAAAATTTAGAGGGGAGAAATTCCCCACCTTCTCCTCCCTAATCGTACAGCCTGTCCACAGACGTGTACTCATTTCTTTGTCTCTCATTTTTTCTAGTATTAGAAAAAATTATGAATGTATTGAACAAATTTGAAGAAAAAATTCAACATAAGATTGAATGTTTGGAATCGAAATTCGATCGAAGATTCGACCAATTATCTCAAAAGGTTGACAATCTTTACGAGCGTGGTGCTGCATCGTCCATATTGTTCCACTTCAACACCCATCATTATCTTGATGCACCATTATCACCAACCAGCAGATTATTTGATTCTCATTTTTCAGAGAAGACAAAATTATTATTTGGATTTTTTGCTCAAGAAATGCATAAACGGTATTCTCATTTGTGGACAAATAATTATAAAGAAATGGGTGTATCTCTACGACCTGAACAATTAGAAGTTGACCTACTGGGATTTGCTTATGAAAAAACTAATCAACAGAAACCGATTTTCAATTCACCGAAGATGGAATCATTGCAAGCAAATTCGTCTTATTCATTTGTAAAACCATTTAAAGTTAATACAATAATTATTGGTGAAGTAACAACATCAATTATTGATTTCAATCATCAAGATTTTATTGATCTTGAGCAGGTATGGTTTCTTCTTCTTCTTTCCTTATTAGTATTGGTTTTTTCTTTTGGTTATTGTAGTCTAATTCAAATTTATTAAATATAAATATACCAACTTATTTACTTTGTCGAAAATTAATGCAACTTGAGCGAACACTTAACTTTATTCTGATTTATTTTAATGGTGTAAAATTAGAAAATCTAGTTGTTGCACTAGTCGCCAGATTCCATCATCGACTTTCTCCTCAACAAATATACAAGCTATTATTTCAATCAACATTTTCAAATAAAATACCACTCTTGAACCAATTATATCAACTTGAACATGAACAAAAAGCAAACAGTTATATTTTATTTCATAAACTATTATGTTCGCTTTGATTTTTTTATTGATGTGTTGATTTTTCTCTCGCTCTCTATCTCATTTGATTTCTCAGGTTTTTTCACTTGTATCTTTCTATGGTTAGGTTTTTTTTTCATTAGATTCATTTGCTAGAACTATGAAATCTTTCTCGTTATGTTTATGTCGAATTGACTCATATATATTTGTTGATAAATCATTGTTATTTATCGATAATTAAATCATATTTAATTGAATCTAGTCGAAATATAAAAACCTGTTACAATCAAATGATAATTTCTACAGGCGGCTTTAGAAGAGTCTTTAAATTGAATTATTCAACTTAAAAAAAGTAAAAAGAATTTAAATAAAAAATAGATTTGAAAATGTTAAAAATGAAAATAAGTCTTTTATTATTTTTTATCAAGATTATTGATATGTAAGTTATCATTAATTTGTTTATTCGCTATCTAGCTATCATCGATTATCTCGTATTTAAAATCATGATTATCAAGTGCATTTATTGCTATTTATTTGTTGAATTATCTATTTTCGACATTATCTGAAAAATGTTCAATATTATTATCTAATCAACTTCGTTAAACTCTTCGTTGAATTCTAGAAATTTTTCATTAGCTTCAATTGATGTCTGACCTCGTTATCTTCTAAAATATTTCCATAATGAAAGATCTTGTGCATTCTCAATGATTGAATATTTAATATTAATTTAACATAGTTATCTTTATTTAAGTTCATCGGAAATGATTTCTCTTTTAAATGAATATTCAACTGATATAAGAATTCATCAAGGTAATTGAAATATAAATATGTGAATTAGTTGTATTAAATACGTGCTTGTAATTAATTATTCACATGAATTATTTCAAACAGAAATTATCAATAACATAATAACTATATCGTTTAAAAAAATTAAAAGATAGTAAGTTGTTGATCAAAGAATATTTATTAAATATTTGAGTAAAATATTTTAGAAGAAGACTCTTTCGATTAATTTTAAATAACTGTAATTATGTTGTCAAAAAATGTTTTGAAAGTTTGTTGTTAATTTGTAAAAAATGTAATCGTTCTCTGAAACTGCAAGATTTAAAAAACACGTACTTGTGGAATACTTATTGATATTGTAGTTTGTTGAGATATGTTCAAGAAGTGAATACGAGTACTAATCTTAGTTCATGGAAATAAACAGCCGATCCAGTAAGAGTAGCAACAAGAATTAAAGATAAAATAAAATAAATATGTTTAAAAATATTGATTATTTGTAAAGAAATGAAAATTTGTTATTGCATAAGTAAATCTTTCATAAGTTGAAGCAATAGTTATAAGTACTGCTAAGGATAGTAAACAAGACAAAAATCGATATAGTTTACAATTAAACCATGATTGAACAACTTTATCTGTGATCCAACAACGAATAGAAGGAATAAAGAAGTAGAGAATGAGGAGATAGACATAATAGATTTCTTATTATTTTCTTTTGTTCATTTCATATATCAATTATCTAAATAAAAACTAAGGATATCTCAATTCTAAAGTCTTTACTAATAGATAATCCTCCTTGCTTGATCAAATAACTGAATTCTGTTTTATTTTATAAAGAGAATGCTTTGCAAATCTTTTAGTATTTCAGATCACAATCAACATAAATGAAAAGATAACCGAAAAAAAAAACAATATCGACCGAACATTCTTCGTTCAATATGAAATTGAAATAATTAAAAAGGAAAATTTCTTTAGAACTGAAGTTGATTCGAATTACAAAACTTTGATACTGAAATTCAATACCTTCGTCGTTCCCTTCGTTTTGCTAATCTAATATTAAAATTAAAAAAAGTTGAAGTAATCTAATTGATAAACACTTGAATTTTCTCAATCATAAATACATTTTATAAGACAGAAGAAATATTTTACGACGACAAAGTTGATTAACTTTGAAATTATATTTGATGAATAATGGATCTTTTCAATTATAAAGTTAAATAATAGTCATGTATTTTTAGCTTTTATCAAAGTATGAAGATCATTTTTAAAATAGATCGAGATTGTCAAGCAGACAATAGACAACTTCAATGAATGATGTACGAATAGATGGAATAATCTTGTTATTAGACATTGTTAGTTTCTTCTCAATCATGGATTTTGTTTAACTAAAATGTTTTCTGTTTATATTCATTTATTGATAATGATATTCACAAAAGTGTCTTGCAATTTTACAATTTTTTATTTATATGAACTTTTGCAAAATCTTCCAGTTTTCTATATTTTTCATGAAAATGGTTCTCTTCAACTTTCATTCCTTTCAAATCAAGTTGTGTTTAATACATCTTTTATTTCAATAACCGATAATCGATGACAGTTCATTCAATTCATTATCGTAACATATATCACTGTGTTTTTTTGTTCTCCACTGAAATGAAAGAGTATAAATTTCATTGTTGCAATGTTTCGTTTCTTAATATATAATATGATTAATGATTATATATATTATTCTAATAAATTAATTGATTGTTTAGTATTGATGATAGAAGTTAGTCACTTAAGTTTAATTAGAACATCATGCAAACATAAATTTCGATTAAATCAATGTTTTTCTCTCAGAGACCGTGTAGAACCCTCTATTTGCCAATTATTTCCTGACGCATATTATTAATATCATGTGTTGTTAAGATCAGTGAAATATCTGGTATCTTGTGAATCAATCGGTGTGTTTGTCATCTCATAACAACAAGGAAATAAAATATCATCCTCTGTATACTATGAATATCAGAGCAATTATCGTCATCTATGTGTTGACATATTTCCATTCTTCCTCAAAGGAAAATTAGTTAAAGTTCAAATAAAATAAACAAAAAATTTCATATCAATGATTGATACATTGATTCTACACATTACAAGAATTATATTTGTATATATATGGGCAATTCCACGAAAAATGGGACATACCCCTTTTTCATCCGACTTTGATTTTTTACAAAAGCGTTTTTCCTGAATCAGTTCTTTCAGCATAGACATATGTGAAAATGTTAGCGCTTTCAGCTGCTAATTAATTAAGAAGTAATTAGTGAATATCTCTCTAACCATATGAGGAAAAAATCTAAAATTTTCAGGATAGACTCTACGAGAAAAGCTACATCTATGGTAAAATTTTCAGCAAGATCGGACTCCAAAACTTTTCCACATAAAAATGAGCTCTCTGGAGGTCCTGTCAAGTCCCGAAACAATTTTTTTTTGTCTTATTATCATCTGGTGATCATAAAGAAAAATTTGTACCGTTTGGAATCGATTTTGAACTTCTTATTAAGTTATAAGAGCATTTTTTCTTTTGCATATTCGTACGCGGTCAAGTTCCTAACAAAAAGTAAATCGAAGTTTTTGAAAAATTTAAGCATACTGAGAAAAAACTTCAGATAGAAGTTTTGTACAATCGAAGGTCGTCTATATCATGTACTATTTAGTTTTCAAGAATACTGCCTCAATTCGCAGATTTTTTAAGCTGAAGTACTCGCAGTGAAAGTTGATGTCTTTTTTTTGGTCACCTCCCTAACACTATTTTTTGGTGATAACTTCTCTGAACCAAGGGCTATACGGCTGAATTTTTCAGGCTAGCTAGAGTCACTTAATATGTCTATGGCATAAAAAAATCAGCTCTAGAGGAGTTCATTATCCAGAGATATAAGCATTTTAATTTTGTGAAGTCACGTCCCTAACAAATTGAATTGTCACTATATATATGTATACATGGTGACTCATTAAAGTAAAAGATGAGAAAGAAAACCAAGATTACTTTAGTGAAATAAATTCGATAATTGGTTCTTTTTTTGATTGATATGCAACAGAGCAATAAGTTTATCATAGTGCAAATTCTGTTATTGTTCTAGTCTTTTTTTTAGTTTGGTGAATACTATTCAGTTCTATTATTAAAAAATGTCATTCAAGAAGAAATGAATATTTCACCAACAAAATAGAATCTATGTATTTTTAAATTTCTTCAAAAATTTTTTAAGGACAATCAAATAAACATCAGATGATTATTATCAAGTGAATTTATTCATTTATTACATACTTTGTTCATCTAAACGTATCACGTGATTCTCCAGACGATATGTAAGGTGGAAAGAAAAAATCAAGAAATAATTTTACCGACAGTCTACCACGTTATTCAAAAGTATCTGCAATCAGACTGAAACTTACAGTGATTGAAGTTTACAATGTCCTAAAGTATTTAATAAAAAATCCTACGAACTTTACATTGACTTCATCGTGCTGTTTTTGTGAACTATAAAATACCACAATTTAGCTTCTAATGACCATTTTCATTGTATTAAGATACTGAACTCTTTCTATAAGTACTAACCATAAATGGAACTATTGGTACATGATATAATGTAGCCGATTGTCTCATGTTATGTATAGTAAAAACGTCGCATACTGTGATTAGAATTTCTCATGTGTGTAGAACTTAGAAGTATATCGGATAATATAATAATAAGTACAAGCATTAGTCTCTATGGTAGTATAGTTAGCCGATTTTCCACCTTTAAAATTCTTGATATTGGATGGAGCAAAAAAAAGCCCATTTTTTTAAGGTATCAATCTCAAGAGGCAAAAACTTGCACTCACATCGACACCACACTCTATCTGTGTATCAATGTTATAAATAATTTAACATAGCGATGCATAGAATCTACTAACTTAGCACTATATACATGTATATATAATTCCGATAATAGTTTGTAGTTACAGAAAAAATTCAATTGAATAATTTAACGTCGACCTAAATTTCAAATGATTCTTTTTATTTAATTATTAATAATTGTTAAGAATGCGTCATACGACTATTTTATGCAATAACAAATATTTCGATTTATAATTTATTATTGGGTTATGCGGTATATTTTGATTTGTTTTATATATGTTTTATTTATTACAAAATGATACTGCTGATTTATAGGATAAATCCGTAATATTCATTTATTTGTTTGTAAGTATTGAAATTATTATTAAATAATAGTAAATGTCTTATTCAATTCTATAACAAAAAAAAATCCATTACCTATAGGACACTGCTTTAATATTATTTTTTGCAGCTAGATCACTATGAAAAGAACCTAAAGAAATATTTCAATAGAAGATTTTTTTTTTTAAATATTTCTAATCAAGAAAATCATTTGTTTGTATTAATACTTATTCTGATTATGTTTCGTTTGTTAAAGAAGACAAGTTAATGAGTAGCTCGTTTACTCGATGATAATTATGAAAATAATTATTGATATTAAATTCAAATATGTTCATTTTTCTTGAAATATTATTCACTTGTCGCACCATAACTAATTTCGATGAATAGACACTGTCATTTTTCACAGCATTTGGATAATGATTCTTGCATTTTCCAGAATAATGACGATGTGATCCTTATTTCATTGAACAAAAAGAAGATAATTGATTCTTGAGATATATGTAAGCGGTAGTTATTCAAAATGAAATATAAGATGCTGTTTGAACTATTAATAAAAATGAATGAATTGAAATTATAAAGACAAATGTTTGTTCATTTTTGATTCGCTTGAAATGTTTCTGATGAGTCAAAAGCTATGAGTAAGAATCCTAAATTTGACCTCTTTCCGACTGTTGACTTTGAAAAATCGTCTCACTTTTCGCTTGACACTACTGAAGTAATCTTTGAAAAGTGACAAATTATCGTTTTGACGGCAAAATTTTTCCATAGATGTTTACACTTTCATTTTTATGACTCCAAAGTAAAATTCCAGCTGCGATAATTTAGCATTTTTGAAAAAGAACTCACGGTAGCTATCAAAAACTTGTTGATTCATCATACAATCTAATTTTTAAGGTCTTTCAAATATTTCCTCATTATTCTGTGACAAATATAAAGACGTATTATTTCTAATTGTAAAGATGAAGAAACTAGAAAAATTTTGATTATCGTCTTTAGTTTTTAACTTGTCTGAAATACTTCTAACCATGCTATAATCAGCAAATACTAGCATTCGAAATTTCACTTCACATCTTTCGTTCAAAATACTTTTTTTGCTTTCCAAATATTATCATAGTAATCTCGAACAAAAAATAAAATGATATTTCTACGCTCACATTTAGAAAAAGTACAAAATTTTGTTCCTAACTCATAACTTCTGCATTCATCGGATACACTTTCAACAGACCCTTAAATATAAACAGATACTTCATCTTAAAACTTTTGGACTCACCAATTAATTGAATAATTTCTGATTAATGTTTATTTAAAAAGGCATGGCACTTTACCTAGTCCTATGAATATACACAAAAAAAAACAAGGAACACATGAATTCTTTTGACCAATGTTTGTTTCGTTTCTTTAAGAGCAGAAACAATCATTTCTGTACATTTTTATGATTCATGTGCTTCAACAATGGTTCCAGTCACGGAAAAAAGACATCTTAGAAGATTTGAAAAATGTATCACAGCCTGATGATAGCCATACTTGTATAAAAGATATCGCCATGTTAAATCAGTATACATATCTTGAATAGGTAAAGTTGCTTTGATATTTGTTAAATTAATATGAACATCTTTTCTATATACAGTATAGTGGATTATTGAGAAAGCAAGAATTGAAAGTATTAATTTAATAAATGTATTATCTGGATCAAGTTGATCAATAACACGTTTAGTGAAATTTGCTGCAGATGGTTGAAATATCATTTCAGCAGATTCGTGGAAAGGAGGATAGTCAAATAAATTGTACTGACATAATATGAACATACCGGCAACATTGGATGTGTATTCTATTGTAGTTCGAAGCAATATTGTAAAATCATGACTAGATAATGAGAGAAAATCAAGATTTTTCTCGAATACAAGTTGAAGTTGACGTTTCATCGACGTAACAAAATTATTAACTGATGAATATTTGAATCGAAATTTGATAGGTAATCGATTTTGTTCTTTTAGAAAACGTTCGACAAATGCATATCCACTATTTTCATCAAAACAATGAACTAAATTTGATAAAAGATTCCATTGATTCATACTTAATGTTGATTGATCAAATTCTAATGAACTTGATGTTGGTTGAATCTGAAAAAAATCGATAAGAAAAAGTTATTTATCGATAGACGATGTCTGAATAATGCACAAAGTCTGACAAAAAGACTCTCTGAATCATCGCGAAGATCTCAGAACTTGTGTTCTGTACATACTAAATGTTTTTTTTTTATGAATAATATACGTTTGGAATTCTTATCGAATATTCGACACATAGAAGTAAACACTAAGTATAGATTTTGTACGTATTTATGTAATTCTTCGTTGAGTTAACATTTTTCAATTATTTAGATGAGTCGATTGATTGAAAAGAACTAATTATCTTTCTTATGAAAATATATCAGCGCCACCGCATCCAAACTTAGTTGGATCAAGATTTAGGTTCGAGATCGACCCAACGGTTATACTTTAGAAATAATAACCAATGAGGACTTCCTTATTACACGACTACAATCGAGATTGTCAAAAAAATGTGTACGAATTGTTACGAACATAATTTAGAATACTTATCGGACTTAAACTAAATCATGCCGTTGAAATTAGTAGCACGATTAAATTCGGAGTCCAGACTTGAAACATGTTGTACAAAAAGGGTTCGAGTCTAACTTCTAAAATGTTCGATTCAAAGGGCTCTAATTACATCTCACTTTGTAAAATTTTAGTTATGAAATTTGATTTAGTATTCGCTATGGAATGAAAATCTATTTTTTCAGTATGTTTATTTCTATTCGGATACATTTGTTTGTCATAGTATGAAATAATTTTAATTGAAGAACTTTCATTATGAACTTCAATGAAGTAGTTATTTTTACGATTTTCATTTTACTAACAATTGTATTAAGATAATCAATGTTTTTTCCTATGTTAAAAGTAAAATTGTTAATTTTGATTAAACTAAATGGTATTATCTCTCCTTTTATTCTTATGTCGAATCTTATTATGATCATAATACTTAGACAGGTAGGACAATATAATACAAGAGAAAAATTACCTGTTCAAACTTATGTTTGTTGTTTATTATCTCTGACATTGTTGATATTGAATGATTTGAATCAACAACCAATTTTCTTATTCTCTGGTTTTTCTTGAATCGTTGAGATCGAATCAATTCAATACGCATTCCAATTTTGAAACATTTTTCAAGTCGACACGAAGTACATATATGATAATTATTCATGGTAATATGACGATTATTCATGTTAATATGACAATTATTGTCATAGTGACATTTCAATACTGCCTAAATAAATTAACTTAAATAAAGAAAAAAAAAATTTTGATTTCGATTGACTTGTCTATTTTCAGCATTTCGTTTAAAAAACATTTTGCATGAATGACATACAATAGCACCATAATAAGAATATCGAGCAGGAGCTCCACAAATTTTACATTCGCATGGAATCGTGTTTTTTTGTCGCTTGACACTAGAAGACAATATATGTGGTTCAGTTGACTCTTCAGTGACTGTTATTTCCATTACTAAATTCGAAAATGTTTTCTGTATATTCGGTAGAAAATACAATTTAGAATGCAAGAAAGAAGAAGAAAAAGGCAAGCGAGACAAAGCTTATCGCTTCAATGCACAAGAAAATTGTCAGGTTGTAAAGAAAATGACATATAGGAAAGCAAAAGGTTTTTTTTTCATTTGATAAAGAGCGTGCTTATGTCGACCCATAGTCGTCGATACTTAATTGAGAGAAAAAAAACGTGTACTCCGTACGGAAAAAACGGTATTTATGAAGTTGATGTCAGTAAACTGTTTTTTATTTACATAAAGATTAAATAAAATGTTTACGGTTTTTTCTTCCACTAGTATATATATCTATTATGTTGTTATATTGCAATGATTCCACTAATTTGCTTAGCAGTGAATTTTACGATGTTGACTTATTCTAAATTATATATATTATATGTGAATATTTTTTGTGGTGAAAATAAAAATTCAGTCAAATGTAAAATTTGCCTAGTCAAAATACAAATATTAATTTCGTCCATTATAATCTCAACCAAAATTAAATTTTCAGTTGTGTCTAGATGAAATTGAATTATTTTTTGATGAACAGAAAAAAGCTAAAATCTTGATAATAAAAGATATGAATCTGTGGGTATGAAAGGTCTGCCTATGAGTGTGGATGTTCTCTAGTGTGTAGCTATGTGGCTGTTTAGTTTAAAATTTGAATAAGGTCAATATCTCTATTTCACCCATACTCTAGAGCCCGGCAGTTCCCAAACAAAAGTGGGACTAACAGTCGAATTGAAATCGAAACATTTCAGTTTCTTATACCTTAAATCGGAATCAGAACAGGAATCACTAGAGCTGAAAATTTGTTTACTGATAACTACTTAGTAGAATCTGTACTTCACTATATCAGGTCATCTATGTCATAGATATATGTATAAGGTCAATATGAGTTCATGATAAAAATGAGAAAACAGAAAGAATATTCTATTTTTGGATTTATTGTTCAATTAACATATTGTAATGGTTAGTCATCGATTTTAGTCCAGTAGAATATATAATTCTTGTATCTATCTATGTATATAAGAACCATAGATCTGAACTGTTTCTATTGATAAATGATTCAAAGCAAACGATTGTCTTATGATCAATGATAGTAAAAAAATCAGATATCGTGATCATCTTTTCTCACTGATTCCGCAACTTTAAAGTTCTTTAAACTGAATACGGTGAAGAAGTCTATTTTCCCATATGTAGGTGTCAGTGACAAGTGGGAAAGATTTGTACTCACATCCACACCGCGCCTAATCCGTATATCAGTGTTACGAATTATTTGATATAATAATGTACAAAATCTACTTACTTAGTAAAATATACATGTATATAAAATTTTAAGTATGATTTGTAGCTAAAGTTCAGATCATAATTATTAATTAATATGATATCATCAATTTTTTCCAAACGACAAATTTCTTCAGTTCTGATAAATTAATGAAAACATAAATTTAGTCTTCTATATACCATTAGAAATAATTAGATTAATATTTTCGATAGAATAAAATAAAATGATCAAATAATATTTCTTGTTTAATTTACAATGAAATTGACTCGTCATCTAAGATTTTTTAATCTTATTGATCTCATTGAAGAATTGTTCTTGAATAATTTCTATTCAAGTTAAACTCTCTTTATTTATGAATACGAAAACAAAATGAAATTGTTATATTTAGGTACTATATTTAACATTGACTGAAGATATCTGCAACTAATGAAAGAATGGTATAAACATATTTAAATCAAATGAATTGTTTAATTGCAACTTTTTTTTTAACTGTTTTAAATGCTGTGATATATCAACGTTCTTAATATGGGTTAAACAGTTCAATTTGACTAACAGATGTATTAGTTAAACTATGAACTATCATTATGATAGACAACATTAGATGTTATTCATTATATTATTCAATATGGAACGTATTATTATAGTATTAATATACTTCAATATTATATCTAGATCAAACATGTGAAAAGAAATAAAAATAAAAAGAATGAAACAAATAATTTCATTTTCTATTTATCATATATCTCGACTATGTGTCATATACACATTTTGAACATAAAATAAAAAATAGGTTGATTCTATACAATAATAATCTGATATGATGACGTTGGATATAGAACATTATAAACATTGAAATATCACAACATTTAGAATGATTTTAAAAAATTGCAATTAAATAATTCATATGACTTAAATATGTTTACTAATCATTCATTAACTGCATATATCTTCAGTCAAAGTTAAATATCTTTATTAATATTGACGATTCTCTGTTGATTTGAGATAATCAATAAATAGTACTAAATACTTTGTTCAGTTTTACAGAAAAATAGAATTTCCATTATTTGTAGAACACGGCTTTAATACTTTTGTGCAATTAATTTATCATGGAAAAGAATTTAAAAAATATTCCAATGGAAGATCTTTTCCTTTTATAGTTTTAATCAAGGAAATCATTTGTTGTTCTTAATGCTAATTCTAATTGTATTTTATTGATTAAGCAAAACATATTGATGAGTTGTTCGTTTACTCGATTATAATTCTGAAAATAATAGTTGATATACAATTCGAATTTCGTTTTCTGTTTTTAGAATTATGAATTTGTTGTCGTAAAATAACTAATTAATTTCAATGAAATGTTAACATCGTTTTTTTTACAACATTTGGGTAATTACTTTTATAGTTTCCTGAATACAGATAATACGATCATCGTTTCATTGATGAAGGGCACTATTAGAATTAAATAGAAAGTGAAATCAACTTGAATCAAAATGAGAGTATTGATTATTTTGACAAATACAACCAATACTGGTTCAAAATAGAATGTAAAACGATGTTGTTTAAACTACTGGTAACGATAAAAAAAAGAATATTAACTAGCTCAAATATGTCTAAGAGCTGATAATGTGTTCGTCAGTGATTTGTCTTCATATTAATTTTTATCGAACTACAGAATGAACCTGATACTTGTGTATTTGTCGTGTTTCCAAGAAACTACTTATTAAGAAATAAAACAATTTTTTTAATCACATATGAAACAGGAAAAGAATCTATTATCGTCTAGAATAAACCTGTTTTTCTATCATAAAGTTTTGAAGAAATACTTGTTTTTTATCTAAGAAAAACAATATTTTCCTTTGAGTTTGTAGAGATTGATCACCTTCTGAATTTCTTTTTTCATTTTTTTCAAAGAATAAACTCCACAATACGCATGGGCAAAATCGGCATATGTTTGAAATTGAAATCATATCGAAATCGTTCACTCCAAATTAAGATTGCAACATCGTCAAAGACAACTGCAACTACATGTGCATCTGCGTGTGGCAATGAATCAAAAATAAACAGAAATCGCAAGAATCTTCTCGATGACGACAAAAAATGTTCTTAAAAAGAACAAGAACATAATGAAGCAAATTTTGATAATGAGCACTTTCTTAAACTTTTGCCAGTGTAATTAAGTACAATTGTAATGATGAGCCAGTGAAGAAGAAAAAAAACCTTGATCTATTTTAGTCACAATTAATATGACCAAGTTGACAGAGTTTGCAATAATAACTAAACAAATCTTGCTCCGAATTGTATGTTTAAATACAAGACACCACATACAGCGGTAGCACCAGGAAGGCACAAAAATTCACTTAAATTCTCTTAATGCTTTATGTAGGTCATCTTTTAAAGTTTCTAGTATTTATGTTTTTCCAGAGAGTTTTCTAATGACACAAACCAAATTATAAATGTAATGATAGTTCTCCAAACAATACTGATATGAGAAGGTATGTATAAAAGAAGTATTTCTGATATGAAGTTTAATGCATTATTATATTAGAAAACTGATGAATGAAAGTTATTTTACTGATTTATCATATCTAATAATGGAACATATGTTTGTAATAAAGATTGAAAAGAAATGTTGCGTTCAAGATTGTTCACAGTGATGACAAAGATAGTAGCATTAGTTTCATTTTATATTCTACAGTTGATTATTTTTAATAATAAAGACAGTAAAAAATAATATATTGTACCGTTGAACGCAGTTGACCGTGCTGAATAATATTTCAATCTTTTGGCTACATATGTGATAGATGACTTCAGTTCATGTTTGTATTAGTTTTTCTAAGAACAAGATATTTACTATATGTTTTGTACTTGACATAAAAATGTGTATTGTTAGAAATACTTCGAAGTAAGCAAGATTGAAATCGAAATTTCACGTTTTCTTTCACTAAAGTTAAATGTTGCTTTTAGAGTGTGACCCACTGCTTGAAAACTCGGCGATTTCTAACCCATTGCTCGGCAAATCGTCATTTTTCGTAACACTTCCTAAATTCAAACAACACTACCGAAGTATTTTATGAAATATAAGAGTTTTGTATATTTCAAGAATATATTCGATTTCATCTTTCACTTGTTTCTGTGTCAAATATAGCAACATTCTTCAGTAATTTTCTCGATAAATCCAAATATATTGATAGCAATTCTTTCTCAATACTTGTTTTCAGAGAACGAGAGACAAAACTGCTCGATAGAATCAAGAAATAAAATAATTGAGTTGACTATGCTTGCGCAACTATTATTTCTGATGAATAGAAATTAAGAGTTTTGTAGATTTTTATTATGAGAAACTCTGTTAATTTCCGATTTGTGAATGGGAGTACTAGCAGCTCTCAACAATTATAGTTCTTCATATATTTGGCGATGGAGAATAGAATTTTTTCAGTTTCTTTTTTGGCAGAAAAAAGAGAGAGAAGAAAAAATACTTTCTCATTTCCTACTAATCATAAAATTCATGGATGAGTTTAGACTACTCTTGGGAAATATATTGACGGCACCTCTATTAACATGTGTCATATTTCATGTTTTTCGTTCTTTTTGTTTGCAATTCTTTTTCTAACTATACATCTATTAATATATCTTTCAATGACGAAGAGAAACTTTTGTTGTGCTTTGAGTAGCTGTTCATAATGAGATGATGATTAAAATCTTTTTCACGATTTATGTTATAGACGAGATTTGTAATTGGTATTAAAATGCAATTAATGTTTCTGTAACGAACTAGAATAATATTCATCAATAATTAACAATTTTTTTTTGTTCTTAAGACAAAAATGTTTTTCTCAAGTGTTGTGATTTCTGTTTAATAGAAATGAAATCATATTATTCATCTAAACTCTTCGTTCTTCTACATTTTTTATTTGTTCTTCTATGTTGAGTAAGAAAATGAAGGATTCGCATGTTTGATCTTTTAATAGAAATTGTCAATAGTGAGAAATAAAATTTTATTATAACTAATTATACCAAATTGTGCAAAAATGATGTGTGGATGCGAAACAAAAATGAATTAAAATAAACATAGAATGTATTGGTAACTATAGAGTATGTATCGATAAAATATCATCATTTATCATAGAGATTAGTTCGTTTATTGAAATAGTTTGCAATTGAAAAGTTCGATTTTATTAAGCATCTCAAAATTTTATTAATTATAGATTATTTGGATTACGATTAAACTTTTTAGATAAACACTTTTGTATATAATGGCATAATTGTTATAAAAGTTTGAGGATATAACAATGTACACAATGCTAAAGTTTAACAAGTCGATTCATTTCATACTAGACATTTCTTTTTATATTACGTGTCTTGTTGAAAAATTTACATTCCAGAAGAATTTTTAAAAATATTCTGTTAAAAAACTTTTTCTTAAGAAAATCTTTTGAAACATTATTCGTATACAGACGATCCAGATTATTAACTTTATAAAAGCAGGTATATAAAAACTAAAACCTTTACTAATCACATATGAATATTTGATTTTACTATAAGTTGAACGAAATATGTTTATTACAAACTAAATAACATCTATATAACGTGTAGTTGAAGAATATGTGTTATTCGAGGTAGTCTCGATATAAATAACAAAAAAAAAAGAAAAAAGAAAAAAGAAGAATCTTATGACTGCAAAGAGAGTGCATGTTCAGTTTGTTCAACAACAGAATCAATTATATCTGTAAATTGTTGTCCTTCATGTGCTTCAACAACGGCTTCAGTTACCGCAAGAAGACATCTTAAAAGATTTGAAAAACGTATTACAGCTTGATGATGACCATATTTGTATAGAAGATATCGCCATGCTAAATCTGTGTACATATCTTGAATAGGTAAAGTTGCTTTGATATTTGTTAAATTAATATCAACATCTTTTCTATATACAGTATAGTGGATTGTTGAGAAAGCAAGAATTGAAAGTATTAATTTAATAAATGTATTATCTGGATCAAGTTGATCAATAACACGTTTAGTGAAGATTGATGCAGATGGTTGAAATATCATTTCAACAGATTTGTAAAAAGGTGGATAATCAAATAATTTGTATTGCCATATTATGAACATACCACCAAAACTTGATGTGTATTCTACTGTAGATCGAAGTAATGCTGTACGATCATGACGAGATAATGAGAGAAAATCACAATTTTTCTCGAATGCAATTTGAACTTTACTCATTATTAATTTAAAAAATTCATTAACTGATGCATATTTGAATCGTAATTTGAGAGGTAATCGATTTTGTTCTTCTAGAAAATGTTCGACAAATGCAGATCCACTATTTTCATCGAAACAATGAACTAAATTTGATAAACGATTCCATTGATCAAGACTCAATGTTGATTGATCAGATTGTAGAAGATTTGATGTTTGAATCTAAAAAAGAGATAAGAAAACGTCATTTTCAATAGGTAATGCCTTGGAAATTCACCAAATTTGACAAAAGATCTCGTAAATATCTTTAACATATCAGGATATAATTAACCAATCAAGAGCTGAGAGCACATAAATTTGTTCAAGTTTTAGTTCAACTAATAACTAAATTGCAACGATCTCTGATAGTACGTTAATTGTCTTTGTTTCTATAATATATCAAAATTGGGGCACCAAAAAAACAGTCAACAAAAACGAAACAAATGGAAACCTTTTTAATCCTAACTTGCGAAGAGAATAAAATACAGTAATATGAGATGGATCTGAAAGTGAAGAATATAATGATTGTCTTAGAGAACGTCCCATGGGAGTTTCAAATGACGTAAATGCTATTTCAAACTGCAAGTTGAGTCTTGACAGTGGTGCGAGTAATTATACTGTTTAAGAATTTTATGCAACTTCATTTCTTAAAAAGAAATTCCATCTTCAACAGGCTAAATGTTTATATACATAATATACGCTTAGAATTAATAAGTAGAATTCGAGAGATAGTAGTGAACAATGACGTAGATTTTATCTATATTTATTTAGTTCGAAATTGAATTAATATTTTTCAATAATTTAGATGAGTCAATCGATTGAACAGAACTAATTATCATTCTATTTGAAACATTTCAACGCAATCACATTTAGAGTCCATTAGATTGGTCATGAATTTGGTCGGATCAAGGCCCAGGTTTATGGCTGACTGAACCAGCTATACTCTAAAAGTAACAGCCAATGATTACTTAAGTCTTGTTGTGTACAATGCTATGTGTCTCTATGTGATGATTTTTGTCATAAATTTATTCAATCAAATTGATACTCACACCCTTTGTACCCAACGGAGATCTAAATGAACTGCACTATGGCAGTAGTATCTACAAGCTCCCGAAAAAAGAGATTATATTCCATGCACTGAGAGAATTCCAAAGCAAGGCATATCCGCGACATTTTCACGAAAATGCACCATACTCCTTGAAAACTACTAAAAACGAGTATGCTTACTAGCACATCAATCGACAATGTCGTTTGTTAGAGCGTTCGCTACAAAAATACAAGTTCAGCTGAACTTTTAGCTTAAAATAAATCGTATAAGAATTGATCTGTAACCGCAATGTGCCACTAGAGTGACGCTCCTATTAAAAGTAGCCATCTGACTCGACAGGCAATTTGAATATACTCAAATGCATTCAGACACGTGAATTGCCATAGACAAGGACACATACCCACACCCAACTCATTTTGTTTCATTCAAATTTGCTTCCGATAGACCAAATATAAATTCTTTGAATAACGCTTTCCACAAAATGTACTCTTTATATATTGTGGAAATGCAAAAAAACTGTTTTCGAGCTTCATTTGAAAATATTTCTGAGTTTTTGTCACTTCTGTTCCTTATTGAAACCCATTAGATCTAGACTATTGACATTTTTCCGATGGATCCTAATAGCCTGAAGTGTTGCTTCAGAAAATTTTCCAGTGCAGCGGTTAGCTGCTGCCATGTTTAATTCTATTCCCCCATAAGATCATCCTCTTTGATTTACACCCTACCAGATTCGAGATTTTGCTTACTTAGAAAAATTGTTAGATTTATCATATGAGAATTCTCGATGGAAAATTCCAAACCGAAACTTTGTCGTGAACTATTCCTTATTTCTTGAACTTCATTGTCTAGCTAAAAAGTCAACATTCTATTGGAAAGTACTCATTAAGGAAATCTTAGTGCAATATTCTTAAAAACATCTAACTTTTATACAGATTTTTTCTGAGACGAATCTACAATATACTTGTAATATCAACGACTAGTCATTCGTCGGCGCTATTCATGGTTAGTTGCTTCATTTACTTTAATGCACTTAAGTAATAGTTCTTTATTGTCGACTTACCATTGAAGACGTGATCCATTTGCAAATCTCTTTTTATATTCGCTTCTTCGGGTTATAGTTACTAGAAATTCCACGAGTCAGAATTCCTGAGAAAATATGCGAATAATTAAATACTCAGTCAGAAAAAAAACTGATGTAAGTAGACTTAGATACCGATCTTGTCAGATTGACTAAAACTAGACTTTCAGTGTCAGAAGTACTTGTCGGCGTGGATACGAATGCTAGTGGGATCGTAAATACACTTTTGCGTGAATACAGTTCTACGTATTATATTTTTCTCTGACACATATCCGCTTCGAGAATCACATCCAGATGGAACAACTTACAACAAAGCTTATCTGATGCAACTCATAGGCTCAGGTCAAGTTCACACCATCAAAAAATATAACTGATTGCATATTAATGTCACAGAAAATGTGCCACTTACACATCGAACTTTTCTAACCACATCATATAGTAAAAAAGAAACGGGAATGCATCAAATATACTACTAACCGAATAAAGTTTGGTGGACTGATAGCCGAACACTGAAAATATTTAATCGACTAACTTGGCGATCTGAGAAAACCTCACATATATTTGATGTTACTGAGATTAACGAATCTATAATCACACTAATACATCTGAATACATAACTCTTCCAATGAGTGTCAGACGACAAACTCATTCTATTTCATATGATTCTTTTCAGTACATCGAAGAACTATTGTTTTCCAAAAAAATCTTTCCTTTATGATAAAATTCTAAATGAAGATTTCGAGAAATTGATTATAGATTTGAATTCTTGGAGCTTCATTTATTTTCGTCAACCTTTATAAAATCTGGTTATTATTTTCTCAAAAAAATCCTTTCATTTCTGAAAAAAGTCGACTACGGAATTTTCTGTTACCAGTTTCCCGATAATGTAACTCTCTGTTAACGGTAACTTTGCAGTTCTAACTGAAAATAGTTGCTGCGAGTCCTAACTAGTGTATGTGCATAGGTGATTTCACACGTGCATACAAACATACAAGCAGACAAATTCATTTTATTTCATATAACACTCCTTTCAGTCGAGTGAATTAATATATAGTGATGCTCATCCTATGGATTTGCACATTCTTTTCTGAAAGATAAAAATATGTCGCCGTAATTTAACAAATAATTATTATTAATCTAAATCTCGATAAAGTTATTCGTTATGGTGACTAACCACCACACATAGAAACTCGCTTTTCTTTAACATTTTTTTGCACGACTGTCTTTCATCTGAAACTACAAATTAAGGTTCAAGTCAGTCCTCACGACTATTCTTCGCTGATAACTTCTTATTGTTGTGTGCTATTTCTTATAAAAACTCATATTACTGCATTGAAAAAGCTATCCCGTAAAATCTTGATGAAAATATTCTATTCGCTTTGAATACAACTGTCCGAATTTTTACTAAAATAGCGTTCAAGGATGCAATGTATACATTTCTACAACCTTTTGTCACATCGAACAGGCAAGGATAAAAATAAATTCAACGTCTAGATTTCAAATTAGTCGATATAGAGAATAAAAATCAAACTGATTAAAGCGCTTTTGATTCAAGTTCTGCACAACTCAAGGAAAGAACAGATATTCGGCAACTCAGATCTGAACATTGCTTTCCACTTAAGTGCATAAAAGGTTATCAACATTGGAATATTCCAACTTCATTTCATGCATACGAATTAACAGTACTACTGCTACACTGATTGCTTTCAGTTATATGACTTTCAAACTGAAAATCTGCGACTTCATTCCTCATTCTGAACAAAAAGATCATTGGGTAACACAGCAAAAGTTATTCCTTTCTAGACACGCAACTAATGGTGTAGCCAGTCGTGGGTAATTGGATGATTGTTCATGAATGTTTTTGGAGATAGTGACAATTGCCCATAGTTCCCCACTACTCAAAAGAGTTTGGCTAAATAAGTACCTGATTGCCCACGACTGGTCACACCACTGATTATGTTTCAACAATGAAAAGAAAACCCAAAGAAATGTTAACCATTCTTGTTTCTCTAGTGTCTGTTTTTAGAATTAGCGTAGAAACGACTTTATATATTATTTCTGTTTGTCAGTTATTCTCAGACGCGTTTTTACAATCGTTATCTTTTGAGTTCGAGTTATATTTAATTGAGCAATAAAATAATTTAAATGAGCAACAATGAAATTTAGCAATAAATATTCTGAATTGGCAATAATTATATTGAATCAGCAATGATTTATTTAAATTAACGGTAAATTTGATATAAAAAAGGGCAATATCGATTCATTTTGTTATGATCCATTTCAAAGATGTGCTGCAAGAGAGAGTTATGTTATACTATACATGTGTGTACTCGTTCTTTTTCTTTCTGTACATATATATCTACGTCTTTCGTTCTCTTTCTTTCTGTCAGATAGGGAGCTGCACCGATTTTTCTGGACCCACCAAAGAATCCTGAGCCATTCTATCCTATCGATTACTGAATTGTTATTCGAATACACATTTTGTAGAGTAATGTTTGCTCTTTCAGACTATTTGATTAAAACTATACAAGAGTCATTCGTATCCGAAAGTTTTTAAATAAAAAAGTCCGGGTCCATACTTGGATCCGGTCAGATCCGAAACAATGGACTCGGACTTTTTATTGAAAAGATTTTGGTTATGAATGGCTCTTGTACAGTTTTAATCAAATCGTCTGAAAGAGTAAACATTGCTCTACAAAATATGTATTCGAATAACAGTTTAGTATTCGATATGATAGAATGGCTCACGATTCTTTGATCGGGACCAAAAAACTCGGTGCAGCTCCCTACTGTCAAGTACATTTCCATATTGCTATCTCTTGGATTCTTCATTTCTTCCTTTCATGTGATTATTCGGGTATATTTCATTCGTATTATATCTATTCTTTGTATACTTTCATCATCTCAGATGTATAGATCTACGTGTGTGTAATAACAGGGAGGCTCTTAGTTTTCGGAAATAAAAAGCATATACACAAAAACTTATTACGGCTCTAACACATTTATTTATACAAATATGTAAGAAAAAGAGGCAGACCATTTAAAGCAAAAAAGAGCTTTATTGACATAATAATATACGATATTTTTCATTTTTCTTTTTTTATTTTCAGTTGTAACTAAAAATAATGTAGTTTTTCTTTTTTTTATTGCTAAAATATAAAATTAGTACTGCTACTTCATGAATTAATTATTGTACATTTGATACTATAAAATTGTTCAAATAGAGTCTTTTTATTGCTCACAAATTATTGCTAAATCGTATTTTTATTATTGCTCATTCCAATATTCTTAATGCTCAAATAAATACTAGCCTTTGAGTTTCAACCACGAAATATCTGCTCTTTTTATCTTCATAGAATCTATATTAATACAAATTCCTTAAGTGATATTTTCCCATTGTGTTCACAATCGAGATGTTTT